AAATAAAAGCATAAAACACTCATATTTATATGAGTGTTTTATGCTTTTATAAGCATGAGTGTTTTATGCTTTTATTTGGTCATATCCTCCCTTTTCCCTTGAATGTCCTACATTTTACAGTGCTTTGTCCTCCTTTGCAGTTATGCCATCTGGTCACCCTGGTGGTGAGCAAAGTGCAAAGCCCTTCTCCTTGGAAGGATGACCACTGCCAGCCCTCCACTGGAGAAGGCCGAAGAGGAGGCCAAGGAGGAGGTCGCCGGAGCCCCTGCAGAAGCACCCATTGAAGAAAGTGCCAGCTGCAGCCCACTGTGTGTGGTGTCACCATCTCCACCACCAGCTGCTGTCCAAGAAGAGCCAGAAATGGGTCCTCGTGCTGCCCAGTGCCAGTCCTGGCTCCTGGAGATGCTGGACGACGTGCGCTACCTCATCTCCTGCACCAACTGGTACTAGCCCTATGTCCAACCAGGCCACACCACTGGCAGGCCATAGGCCTCTGCAGAGGGGCAGCAGCACCTTGAGAAACTATGGGGTGGCTCTGTGGGCAAGCCGTGATTGACTGTCTGTGATTAAAGGACTGAAAGAAAATGCCGTCTCTTGGCTTCATCTGTCCTGGTTTGTTTATTTCTGCGGGGACAGTATGACCAGACATCCTCCTTTTCTAGGACCTCTCTGACATTTCAACTTTCTGTCCAAAATGTCCTCCATTTTGAGCATGACTAAGGGCCACTGTGGAAATAATCCACTCTGAGATCACTTTACTTGTCCTGGTTCAGTACTAGGGAATCCTGGGAATAGTAGTGTAGTTTATTGTGGCACCAGAGATCTTTGACAGAGAAGGCTAAATGTGTCTTAAAAAACTATAGTTCCCAGAATTCCCTAGCACTGAGCCAGGGCAGTTAAAGTGATCTTAAAGTGGATTATTTCTGCATTCTGCAGTTTATTTTGTCCCTAAGAAGCAAGGATTTATATTTTTATGTGTGGTTCTAGGTTTTATTTGGTTATGTCCTCCATTTTTCCTTCAATGTCTTAACATTTTGCGGTGCCTTGTCCTCCTTTGGGGTTAGGATATCTGTGTCCAAAACAAACTGCAGAAACAATCCAGTTTGAGATTGCTTTAACTGCTCTGGCTCAATGCTAGAGAATCCTGGGAACTGTAGTTTTGTGAGACTAGCCTTCTCTGTCAGAGACTTTTGGTGCCACGATAAATTACAATTCCTAGGGTTCTCTAATTCTGAGCCAGGGCAGTTAAAGCTGTCTCAAATTGGATTATTTCTGCAGTGTGTCTTGGACCCTGGTCACCCTGTGTGGGAACTGTCAGGCTGCTGCCACGCTGCACAGTTAATGCTGTATGACACTGTCACAGCTCCAACCTGAGGAATCCCAAGATTTGTAGTTTGTTGTGGCACCTGAGCGCTTGGACAGAGAAGTTGAAATATCTCACAAAACTGTAAAATTCCATAACATTGAGCCATGGGACTTAAAGCGGTGTCAAACTGCATTAATTTTGCAGTGTACCGTATATACAGCCTCAGTTGCTTCTCAACTTCCTGTTGTTCTTTAATGCAGTTCAAATAGCGTTTCCCACAATTTTCTATGTAAATGTTATATCTGCAGCTCAGCCAATTCTGTATAGTGTGCTCAAAGACAGACAACAACAAAAAACCAGTGTGATAGCAGTCAGGGTAAACATCCATTGCCTGTGCTTCTTTGGTCAGATTAGGACAGGTTATATATTGGGGGGGAGGCACTGGTATTTGGAAGTATTGCACCAGCAAATAAGACATGTGTGTATGTGTTTGTGTACGACTAATATGGTACATATGTTTGCAACTGAGGAAATAAACTTAAGTCTACAAAAGTTTGTGCTACCAACTTATTCCTTTCTCTCAGGGCCTTTGCAGACTGCTAGAAATACATAGTGCAAATTGAGTCCACTTTAAGGGTTAGGGAATCATGGGAACTGTATTTTATTGTGGCACCAGAGCTCTCTGACAGAGAAGGCTCAATGTCTCAGAAAAAAAAACACAATTCCCATGATTCCCTAGCACTAACCCTAACCCTAAAAGCGGACTCAATTTGCACTATTTCTGGCAGTCTGCAACCCCCCTATCACACTGGAAAAAGAAATGGGATATTAGCATTATGGTCCCGCCAGTATCCCATAAATATCGTGCAATATCATGACGCTTTTCACATGTCATTATTTTGCGATTATCCCATGAATAAAGCAGCAAAATGGCACCACTTTTTATTCGCGTGAAAGTCCTGATTTTGCCTCTTTATTCACGAGATAATTGCGCAATGACGTCGTGTGAAAAAGGCGTTGTTGCGCGATATTAAAGGGATATTGCTGGAGTATAGTGCCAATATTCTGTTTCTTTTCCAGTGTGATAGATTCAATTGTCTCTCTATAAGCCCCAAGTATTGCTTGGCCCTAGATATGTTACCCTTAATGGTACTTGGCTCTAGAAATCAAAGACCTACCGTATATAGCCCTGTTAGTCTGGATCAGTATGCAAAGGGATCCAGTAGCACCCATGAGGGTGCATTTGCACTTGATACCACTTTGTTGTGGCATCAGAGCTCTCTCTCTCTGATAGAGAAAAGATACATAAACACTACAGTTCCCAGAATTATTTCTGGGAGGAGAAAGAGAGAGAGAGAGGGAAGAAAAAGAGGAAGGGGGGCCCTAAACACACTGCAGAAATAATCCACTTTGAGACCTCTTCAAATGCCCTGGCTCAGTGCTAGTGAAATCTGGGAATTGTAGTTCATTCTGGCCCCTGAGCTCTCTCTCTCTCTTGGACAGAGAAGGCTCAATGTGTCTCACAAACACTACATTTCCCAAAATTATTTATGTGAGGAGAAAGAGAGAGAGAGAGAGATTGAAGAAAAAGAGGAAGAGGGAGGCCCCAAACACACTGCAGAAATAATCCAGTTTGGGA